AGATCTGGGAGGAAGTCCCAAGTCACCCTTGGCAGAAATAGCTCCGGGCTTCAGCCTGGTGTCCGTGTCTCCAGCTGTCAGCAGGGACAGCTGAATACAGCACGATTCAGCCCATCCTGTGATGCCCTGGACTGGGCACGCCTGTGGCCCTGGGGGTCCAGCCCGGGGCCTGTGCTCCAAGGTCAGAGCTCTTGGCAATGACAATGATGACGACTCCATTTACTGTGAGCCTAATGTGCACGCTGGGTCATTCACAGTTTTGTTTTTTTTTTAATCAATATTTTTTATTATGATATTGTGGGGTACAGTTAAGGGTTAGGTATTCAAATATGCTTCGTTCAGGCACCCTTGTTGATAAGAGGTGTCTCCCATTCCCACATTCACAGTTTTGCCTCAGGGGAAGTGTTGTCATCTCGCCATCAACATGACAGAGGGGAGAAAGCCCAGGAAGGCATCAGGAGGACGTGAGATCTGAACTGGGCTCAGGGCAATTCTGAGTGTTAGTAAAGCCGTTAGAGGAGAGCAGAAAAGGGCCGGCTCCCACAGAGGGAACCCAAAAGGCAGAGGCTCAGAGTCAAGAGTCATTGACAGATGAGGCGACAGTGAGCTGGCTATGCACCTATCGCACTATTTAACCTTTCTGGTCTCAGCTTCCTCATCAGGAAAATGGGGATGACAAAAATGCTTCCTCAAGGAGTTAATTTATACAAAGTGCTTGCAACATCGTCTGGCACTTTGTGAGCTCTCAGTAAATATTAGAAATATTAGGGCATGGTGGCTTATACCTTTAATCTCAGCACATTGGGAAGCTGAGGCGAGAGGATTGCCTGAGCCCAGGAGTTCGAGGCCAGCCTGGGCAACATGGCGAGACCTCCTCTCTACATAATCATAAAATTAAAAAAAAAAAAAAAATAAATTAACTGGGTGTGGTGGCGTAATTCCAGCTACTTGGAAGGTTGAAGCAGAAAGATTGCCTGAACTCAGCAGGTCGAGGCTACGGTGGCTGTGAGTGTGCCACTGCATACTAGCCTGGGCGAAAAAGAGTGAGACTACAACTTGAAAAAAGAAAAAAAGAAATATGAGCTTATTGGCCAGGCTCAGTGGATCACGCCTGTAATCTCAACACTTTGGAAGGCAGAGGCAGGAAGATCGATGGAGCCCAGGGGTTTGAGACCAACCTGGGCTGTGTGGCATTTTTTTTTCCATCTCTACA